AGCACCTCTAGTCCCTCGTCTATATTCTACCTTCAAAGGGATTGTTCCGAAACCATATAATTTTTTACATGGGCACGACTCGGAGGCATGTCCAATCACTTTTTTTCTTTTTATTAGGTTTTCATCTCCCGCCCGGTGGGGGTGGGTGGGGCTACTGCCTGAGATCGAATGCTGTGTTTTTATTAAATGTGCCAACTGCTCGGACTGTCTTAGGGAAGATAGCATTTAGATGCGCAGCTCCACTGTCTTGGAATAGTCTGCAATTGAAATGGAAACTGAGCAATCTGGTGCCACTAAATGTTTTTAAAGCTCGGTTGGATCCTACTCAATCGGAAGCTGTTGGTACCTGCTCATGTGGATAGTTATGTAAATTGTAAACCCTGTAATGATGCTGTATGATGTCCTTTTTGTTGTTCTGTTTATGTTTTTATGTTTCTTGTGGAACCTACTTGAGCAGGTCTCCCATGAAAAAGAGATCAATGATCTCAATGGGATACGCCTGGATAAATAAAGGTTTGAAATGAAATGAAATGAATTTGAAAAGTTGGAATAGGTGAGTTTTTGCTGGGAATCTCTTTTTTGTAAGCTTTTCTCATCCTAACAATTTAATTGCACATTTTGTATTTAACGTTTCTTTTGTCCTCACATTATTTGCAGCTCAACATGCTCGGCAAAATATGCTGTGGCCCTTATGGATCACGCTTAGATGGAAGAACTGCTTTGAGGCCTGCAGCATTTCAGGTAAAATCGAACTTCAGTCACTTTACCTCAAAATTGAAAAACCAAAAACATATTGCCATAACGGATCAACCTTGAGGGCCTCGAGGGTCTGGGGCCCGGATCATTTCCCTGTTTTTGTTAATCCAGCCTTGCTCTCTCCTTGTCATAATACAGTTTATGTTGGTTCTATGTAGTATTTGTTCCTTTTTAATGGTAGTATTTATTTTCATATAACAGCCTACATAAACAGAAGACTATGTTCATAATAGACTGAAGTTTACTATCATTTTTTTACACCTACTTTTGCTGCGGTGACATTTTGTTCCAGACGTTCACACGCCAGTTCAGTCACCTTTATATGAAACCTATGCATTTACATATATATTTATTTTAAATGTCATTCCACATCCCACCCGCAACTGTAAACGGCATACATGCACCTACTTGGATTGGCCCTTTAAAGCTTATTCATCAAACACTGAATGTAATTGGCCCCTGAACATAGCATCTCATCTGGCTGACTGTAAAGTGGCTTTTCCCGGGAAAATATCCCATTTGCACAGCTGTACACTGAATATAAGTGTGTGGGGGGGTCTCATAAACTGCATCTCTTCCCACTTCGTCTTCATTTTTACACGGGTTCATTTTTCTCCCCTATTTACCAAAAGCCCCTGTAAACTCATAAACTCCGTGTCTTCGGGGAGGGATCCATCCATCTTCCGGACACCAAATTGAATTGATCTCGGGGCCCCCACCTTGCCTTTTCAATAGGGGCCATCTGCGCGCGCTTGCTGCTTTGAATGCACGTGAAAGAGTGACATATGACGCGCGTTCCTCTTTGTAATCTGATTTCAGAGCAGCTGATTGATTCACACACGCCTCTTTTGTTAACGTGTAGATGCCATATTGACTTTTGAGTTATTTAAATTAAAACTTCTCCTTTTTAATTGTTACTTCCAACTCTTGACTGTTTATATTGCTTGGCATAGTCGTTATTTAGGGCCTTTGCAAATGAGCAAACGATCAAAACCCAGAATATCGATATACTATTGTACTGCTTTAAAGTTCGGAGCAAATACATACGCTGAAAAAACTGAAACATTGGCTTTAATTAAATGTATTTTGTCATATAACTGTATTAGGTTAGTTGAAAGCATATTAAGTTTGAATAAAAAAATATTAGGTTCAACTTAATATTAGTACTTTTTCGTTTCAGTTTTTTCAGTGCAGATTCATTTCTGATATACATTTGTCTTTAATTTTAATTACTGTTTTATATGTGAGAAAGAACTGTCAGGATTACTTGACAATGAAATAAGTCAAATTAAGTTTGAACTCATGTAATAGTGAAAAAGAGCCACATGGTGGTGCACTCATCTCAAACTAGGATGCTTGACAGCTTATATTCATATTCTGAGAGAGTATAAGTATAACAAATATATGAATAATATACTTTATTAATATAGCACCTTTCAGAGAGAGTTTCAAAGTGCTTTCACATGAAAACAGAACACATTTTATACACACAGAAAAAACCACTTTGTAATATGTAAGAGTAAAATGCAATTAAAATATTTTAAAAAATGTCATAATAGCAATTTAAAAAAAGTGAGCTTTAAGAAGTAAGTAGAAGTACATTTATGTATTTGTTAACCTTTCAATACATGTGTGTATGCAGAAATATTGAATTAAACACTCACCCCTCCCCCCTCCTTGACACGGCATCAGTGTTTATTCTTCTCTCCATGGGGTCGTGTCCCAGTCATGACCTCCATTGTGTTCTGGAGGGGATGAGATATATCTCAGGGCGTGTGTGTGAAGTGTGTGTGTGTGTATGTGTGTGTTTGTCGGGGGCAATGATGCAGTTCAAAGGAGGACAAAATATTGATTCATATACAGCCGTGTAATTGCTGGAGGCATCTGTTGCCTTGTGGTTTGAACTTCCATGTGTTAGGAGTGTGAACGAACTGGTGTGAGACCCCTTTGTCTGCCAACACAATGGCAGAAACAGCTGAGTAATGTCAAATCAATCGCTGGGGATATATGTTTTTAATTGCTTGTCGGGACCTTTATTTAACAAGATACAGGTGCACTATAGGAACTGGAAATGGTGACTATTGTGCATGAGATGTTATGTGTGTGTGATCGCTTGAAAGAAAATCAAAGTGTGTACATTATACAGCACGTTTCTTATAATTCTGATTAATACCAAGTGTCAGCCAATCAGGGTGCAGCTTCCAGACTGCTGTGGTGCTCAAACCCCTACACATTATAAGAGAGGATCAGCGTTCTCATTTATTTTCTGACAGAGAAATTGGACATTGGTTTGCTTTCCCTTTTAAGAGTGTGCCTGAAGGCCTCAGAGGCTTCTTTGTGTCTCTGTCACTGACTGTGTCCAGGCCAGATTGTTATCTCTGCTCTGTTGTGTTCTGCTTTGAGTGAGTGAGTGTTGTATCCTTGTTTACCTTGTTCAGCTTCATGAGCTGTGACCAAAACACTCTCTTTGCATGGCTAGATGAGAGCATGATAGTTGTTTTGTCTAAATATTTGAGAAACCTCTGTTAAAAGTAAACCACTAGTACTTATAGGCTTTGTGTTCTGAACTGGTGTCTTCATAGTAGAGCAGACAGAAGACGTTGTTTCCATGGCATCAACAGTTTATTGATCGATGTCAAATTGTTGTCGTTGACATGTGTGACATCTGTAAGGCAAATCTAATTCTTGTTGAGGCAACAGCGCTGTCCTTTCAACTTAGTGCCCATCTGCTTCTTTAAAGAGACATGCTGATTTGTCAAGTAGTTTCTAGTGATTTATAGATATTGATCAATCGGCAGTGACATGCATGGAATTGTATTTTTCCATAGACATACTAGTCATAGGTCAAAATACTTATCAAATTAGTGTTTTTATTTAGATGAGTATAAATGTGTTGGCTTACCTTGAGCTTTATTTTGCAGAACATTATAAAGCTGTTTTCACTGTTTGAGACGTTTTCTTTTCATACAAAGAAAATGAAATATGATGCAAAGAATCTATAAAAACAGATCAACAAATAATAACAATGATATTACATCTGTAAATACAAAAAGGCAGAACCCATACTATAGCATGCAACTATAACTTTTTTTTAGAAAACCACTAAGGAAAGAAAGACATTATCATTATAAGGCAGTATCATTACATTTATTGTAGCCATATGCAGTAAGATCATATGATAAATAAATAAGTCAAACTACTCATCATTTGGACTTGTATTGGTGCGCACATAATCTCTCGTGCCCCTCTATACCAAACATTACTGTAATTAACCAGACCCGTTTGTAATATTGGCAGTGGCTTCACGTGTTATAGACGCCTCCTAGCGGCATGTGTCCGCACTGCAGCCCATATGCTGAAGCACTGCCCCCTGTGAAATTCCTAACTGCCAGGGTGATTCCTCCGGTCACTGAGGGCTGCTTCCTACGCCAGCCTAGCGTGCGCTCTGGGACAAACTATTTAATAACCACTGGATAAATGATCAACCACTGGAATGATATCTCCAGCGATAAAGGGTGAGTTTTGATCCAATAACGCAGTGTCAGTCATATGTATTCTGCAGATCATAGTGCGGACTCAGTAGTGTGTGAAGCTCTGTCGTACACTATAATGTCCTGATTCTTAAAGCCTATTAAATGTAGGTTACCGAGCCTTCTTATTTTTATTTCTACAGAACAAAGGCTGTTGCTCAGTGTTAGTCTGAAAGCGTCTTTTTAAAGAAAGGCTAGGGAACACGCCCTAGCTGTCTTTGCTACCTGTATGAAAGGGAATGCTTTCAACTTCATGTGAATGCCCTCAAACTGCGGGCACAAACTGACTGGGTAACTTAACCGTATTTGTTAATGTTTCGAGTTTGTTACATAGTCGGTGTGTCGGTTTATGGCTCCTCTTTCAACCAGAAAGTCAGACAGCCACTGCGAGACAGTACAAAAGTCAACTATGTTGCATACGGGTTGACTGGATCCGCAATACCCCCGTGGTGCACCGCAGCTCAGCTGTAAACTGTAACCTGCGGCGGCGGAGTTGACGCGGAGGGATACATTGTAGCACTGCCATTTATGCAGAAAACACGGAACACCCGTTTAAAACCCCTATAACGTGGTTTGGTGTTTCAAGTAGCCTCACATATTGGTTATTGAGGTTAGGGGCATGAGGGGGGGCTTCAGAGGCCACGGTTATGCCAGGGAGTTTCCTGCCGCTAGGTTCGCCTGCCTGACGGGTCACAGGTAGGGGCTGGGCAGGGAAACCTGCTCTGGAGCTCCTACAGACAGAGAAAGTAGAGATAAAGACAGTCGTGTATTCGCTCCTCTATGTCTAGGCTTATGAAACTCTTCCTTTTTGTTTGACTGTTAAGATTGGATATCTGCTCTGTTTTATTGACCCACTTCTGATGTAAATTGACAGAAATGTAACTTAAATAAAATGACTACTACATACTAGGCGTTTGTTGTGTTGGGCTCATGATATTTGTTCTTGATTATTATTATGCAATTAACATGTGCTTTATCAACAAATTGTCAAGATAGAAGAAATAAGCCCTTCCAAAGCTAAATATACATTTTAAAAGAATACGTTTTGTCTTTCAAACTGTCCAAAACCAAAATATATTGTATTTGCCATTTTATAATACAGAGGTAAGAACAAAACATCACATTGAGATGAAATGTTCGGCATCAGTGTCAAAATAGTTCAATTTAGTAACTATAGATTTTCAACTTATGCCAGAAAACAAGGAAGGTTTTATCATTACCTCAATAAACATATTTGTAACAGATGACAAAGGTATTTATAACTAAATATCACATTGCAGTAGGAATGCACACTGTATCTGACATCCTTGTAGCTGTCTTAGCTAAAGCTGCATGGGAGCAGTGTGACATTGTGAGAGCCAGACCGACATTAAATGGTGACAACAACTGTTCTTCCTCTCTTTAAATTATGTAACAGCCTCATTATCATGAAGACATGTATGTTCTGGATTAGCCTAATGTTGGAGAGTTTATGGATTCTCACTCACTTTTCCTAACAGAATTATTTTGCATAACAGCTGCAGAGAATATCGATGGCGATGATGACACCTGTCAAGAGCTCTCAGATGTGAGGGTGTGTTTGAGCGTGGCGTGCTACATGAGTGTGTTGCTGGCTTACAGAGCTCACAGCATGTGTGTTAATATCAGTTATAAGCATTTAATGTTGCAGGGTGAATATGTTCTACATGACGAACTTTAGTTGGACAGAGTTATTCCAGTCACATTTCTTCTGTCTGCAGTGCATAGTTCCGCATTAGCTGGTAAGGCAAGATGTCAGTCAACTACAACAGCCTTTGTGTTGCCATGGTGATTCTAATAAACATTATCTCCATTTCATGGAAAGGTCAACAGTCGGACGTCTTAGCCTCTGGCTTGTTCTCAGTGCTGTATTAGAGGGAAAAAGTTGAGAAATGTTAATCCCTTGATAGGAAATATGTCAGTTAATTGTTTCTTGCCGTCGTCTGTTAACTCATTGCTATTCCACTCCAGCTATGAAGAGCATGTTCTTGTGACTTGCTCGATAGATTATTAGGTCATTTTGGCAGCAAAAAAGTCATAATTCACAAAGTATATCAAATGTATCCACACGTTACAAGAAAATAAGACTCTGTAGAAACCCTAGTTATAACATCCAATTTGTAAAAGTAACCTAACTTTGTGCAAAAGAAGGCCTACCTAAATACAGTTCTAGTTTTCATCATGATGCATTGTTTTTATGCAGTTCATCAATATTCTATGGTGCCTTTCTTGTCCTATTTTTGTCACGTGACTAACAAACCAATTTGACTCAATTGAATCTGAACACAGAAACATGGATACACACATTTTTACATCCAGTATGAGTTAAACTTCTTAAAGGGGCCCTATGGCCGGCTCTGTTGTGATTGATCAGTAGGCCCCATGGTATTAAACACCCCAGGTTTATAACAACCCATGAGTCCGTTTACTCACTGACTCAGATCATTGTGGTTGCCTAGTAACACCAGCAGAAAAATGCAACAGGTAAAGGCCAAGTGTGAACGAATCACAAAGGTGTGAGTCATCGTTAATCACACATACCTGTTATTCAGAGCAGACAGCAGTTTGTAACCAACACTGCACAGAGTTGACATGCTAATGATGCTATTTATAAGCAGATATAATAACCACGACCTCTTTAAATGATAATGATAAATAATAGCCCGTGGTTCTGCTGCTGTTTCTCCGATCCGAGAGGTTAAATACTATGACTCTCAGGAATGTTGATTGAATTCCTCAGAATTAATGAGTCTCATTTGCTCAGTCATGGACAGCAACTTGTGACCGGTCAGACTTCCAAAGTGTCTCGCTGTAATTTCCCCACGTGGCCTGGCACGGAGTTGCCTCCTCTCGACCTGAAGTGATATCATTAGCTTATTTTCTTCAATTATGGCGTGAGGAGAGGTGTTATCACGGTGATGATAGAGGCAGAGGGCGTCATGGTTACGCAGGGTGGGATGAGGCGATGGGGAGAAGCGTCAGTATGGCTAGTTTCTAATTATTTATCATTTCTATGATTAACAGATATTTTTTAGAAGATTATTTCAAAACTCAGGTCAAATCACAGAATATTTATTTATTGTTTTCGCTGTGGTTTAGTTGATTATTCTACTGAAGTAAAACTGTTGTTTCCATAGCGGATCAGTGAAGAAAGCAGTGTAGGAAATCAAAGGCGTGCCATAAAAGGCTGAGGGATTTGAGGATGAATCACTGCTGAGTGTGAATGAGCTACAGGGGGCATTTCACAGCTCGCCTGAAAGGAGGGTACGAATGAAAACATAGGGGATCATCTGATCTGGTTCATTAGATGCTTGATTTGCCACTAGAAGTTCTCCTCTATAATCAGTGGTCTGCAGAGGTTCACTGCTTCACTAACTTCACAGACTCCCTTTCAAGGTTTGTCCCTGTGCTATAGGCTCAGTCAATCCAGGAGGTTGTGACTCCTCCTTCCCTAACTGCTTCAGAAAGGTCAGTTTGAAGCTCCAGACATTTTCCAAATCAGCCCTATTGTCCAAAAAGGAATTGAGATGAATGCTGATTGTGAGGTTACACTACATACTGCCATAGGTTGTCAAAGCGTCAGCATTTCCATCATCCAGCAGTTGATGATGAACTGATGTATCATACGTGCAGCGGATCAGAGCTGATGGTTTACGGCGGCTGACAGCAGATGTCTTGTGTCTCCGGAGTAACTCTGCTCCAGCTCCTCTCTCCGACATGAAAGTGCATTCTTGGGCTGTTTACGCACCGCTGTTTGTTCACAGTTTATGCCTCTGGATGTTTACCCTTGAGTTCCTCGAGTCTATGCACAGGTTGATACACCTGTTAGCTTGTGGGTTTTCAAAAGGCATTTGTAGTCCTGAAGTTTGGCACACAGTACTGCTAAACATGATTCATATTTCCACACACCGAATAAAACGGTCTTGTGAGACTCTTCCCTTCATGCTTGCTGTAGCCCTTCCTCCTCTTCGCTCCTAGTTGCCAGTGTTTGCCAGGACAAACAGACAAGCCGGCGGCTCAGCGGGGGAGCTTAGATTACTGTGAAGAACCTGCCAGCCCCCCCCCTCCCTACCACAGTTGGGGGATTCCTGTTTCAGCGCCGGACTGGCCCTTAAACTTGAAGTGGTTCCGCTTACCAATTTTCTCTGACAGGGCAAAGAGAGAAACCACATGTGAGAACGCCCTCGGATCGTGTTCCACTTCCACATAGACCTCAGAGCCTTCCTCTAGTGCTAGTGAGGAGCGCAGTGCTCAGCGGGAAGTATCTGAACAAGTGGGAGACTCCAGATTTTAGCGAGGAAACACACAGGGAATAATCGATGAGTTTTAAACCGAGCTGCCCTTTGACTGAACCTGGACCAGACCCTCATGTAACCCTATTAATCCCTCATTTAGCCCTTGCTTTTAAGAGGATTAAAATAGGTGATGGAAATGCCTCTGTGATTGCGCCCAGCTTGCGTAGCAGTCATTATTCATCTGCTACATTCCTGCAGTACAGCATTAGCAGTGTCTGGACGCTTCTATCTTGGTCCCTTTAAAGCAAACAGATGGTTCTCCAACCACCTGTAGCTGTATCAGGGGCCGGACCCAGAATCCATTATTATAAGACCCCAGATATCCCTAGTTTGTGCTGTGCGTTGCATGTGTACTTGTCTAAAGGTCATTTACGCTTTGAGACCCCTGAGTCAGACTTTCATATGAAAATAAGTCAGATAAAAAGAAAGTAATTAGTCATTTTTACATCTTGGAGGAAAACTGGAGATGCCATGGACTAAAGAAGTACACTAACACTCATACACTTGGATGAGTAATCCATTGGTTGACTTAATCGACAGTAGAGTAAAACCACGTTCTTAGGAAGACCCTGCTTCGCTCTGCGTGTTGTGTGAGATGAGCAGCAGCAGCAGCAGCAGCAGAGTTGAGCGAGGATTTGTCACCTTGTGAGGATGATTCAGGCTTTTAAAATGATTTACACAACCAGCACATCAAAATATGCCGCTGCACAACCTTCAAAGCGTTTCAGTCGTCTGTCAGTCACGCAGACTTGCACATACACACAGATGTGCCGGCACCACAGAACTGGGTCACACTACATGTCTTGTGAGTGTATTTCTGGACCTGGTGAAGTGTGTTTTCCCTCGGATAAAGATTCCAGTTTGTGCGGACTAAATCTGAAGGGAGTCTTCTTCCTGAATGCAGATAAGCAGGGATGTCTAGTGAGCATTTCTCAGATCGGAAAGTATTTGAAACACTTGATGATAGATGCAGAACAATAGGGATGTGTTCACTCTAATACTGTAGAATGATACCCTTAAACATGCTGTCACTTCAAAGGACAGCTCTCTGGTTTAATATCAGCTGTCCTCCTCTTCATAGGATTTCTGGAATTGTAATGCCAAGTGTAGGCGTGCTGGATCAGAGTCCATGTGTGCAGGGGAGTTGAGTTAGGTGCTTTTCACTTGGTGATTTAACATACATTTGTATTTCACACTTCACATTTTTCACCTCACCCAAAGCACTTGGAGAAGCTGTGTGTGTGTGTGTGTGTGTGTGTGTGTGTGTGTGTGCCCACACACACACACACACACACACACACACACACACACACAGCTTCTCCAAGTGCTTTGGGTGAGGTGAAAAATGTGAAGTGTGAAATACAAATGTATGTTAANTCATCAGGAATAACCAATGCACCTCTTCAGCGGTGCATGCGGATACATATTGGCAGAGCCAGAATGTAGATGATCTGCATACCTGCACATATAATAGCGTTTCTGCTATTATGTAGAGCTGTGTGTGTACATGAAGTGGTGTCTGAGGTGACAGTGAGTTAAGCACTTTGTGCTATGTGTGGATGTGAAACAGTTCATGAGGGGTCTCTGTGTAGGATGAGAATGCGAGCAAGATGTCTGACTGTCCATCCTATTAATTTACACTGTTATCCTCTCTGTCTGCAGGACGTGCATAGTCAGCTGTGAACCACGAGGTTCGTGCGTGAGTGTGAGTCTTGTTGGTGCCTGAAGATGAATATACCGATGGACCTGTTTAGATCGAGTGCCCGCTCGCATATGTGTTACAAATGCTGCAAGCAGTATTTGTGAAATGTACATAAGATATTAGATGTATACATATAAACTACCTGTATTGACACATAACCTGATCATATGGGAAAGCAAATGAATATATAACTAAACATGGAAAATAGAGTAGTTACATTACACGGGCACTTCAGGAGCATATTTTTTATTTAATAATAACTGTTCAATAATATAGGAACAGTGGTGTTATAAGTTTGATACTTTATGAAGTTTCCTGCCAAATGTACTAAGTTTGAATATTTTTGGATTACAATCAGCATCATGCATCTTAGATATGACCTTGGAAGTGAAAAATAATTATAATCAATTCAGACAGACTACCTTCTGTTTCTGTCATCGTAAGCTTTGTGGCTTGATTCTCTGTCAGTTTGTGAGCAGGCGGTGGATATGGAGCGGGCCCGCCGGTCACAGTCTTGGGCTGGTAACATGTCTGAAGCATTCACAGACTGGACCTGAGAGCTGTCCCGTTCATGAACAGACAGGACAGATAGCCAACATGTGAGCATAGACTAAATTCACTCAGAAGTGGAGCACTGACATAATAATAATAATAATAATAATATAATAAATACATATTTGATATGTAATGAATAATACATTTAGTTTATATAGCCACACTTTAAAAAACAACGTCATGCCCAAGGTCTTCCAAAATGCTACTGTATGACATGAAGCTGTCCTGGATCGATCATATGGCATTCTGCTAAGACTATGCCTATTACAGATACTACACAAAACTACTAAAGTTGTGTAAAAATCTTCCATTCAGACTAAGATCCTCATCGTGTAATCCCTGCCATTTAACTCTTGTAACTGGATCGTCAAACCTTTTCTCTGCAAAGCATCTGTTATACATGAGCTAGAGGGAAAGCTTATTTCAGAGTCATTTGGAGCCATTGAAAAGAGTTGACTCATTCCTGT